GCTATTGCTGGGCAGTGCTTGTACAGCATCAAGGCCATCTCTGTTTCTCATGCTGCCCAACCAGTGAATAGATTAGGGGTGTACAAGAAGTGGAGAGGGTATACAACCAAATAGTTGACCCAAACTGTCCAAAGTGATATTCCAAGCCATATAATGATATGCTCAGCAGTACACTGGAGAGGAGTGGAGTTTAGGTAAATTAGCCATCTTTTGCCTCAGAAACAGGCCGGGCATCATTCTGTCTTGGGAACGTGGCAAGCGATTGCTCTTGTGTCACTTATTTTTTGTTTTCTTTCTTATTCTGCTTCTTCTTTGCTTATAAAATTATCAATCCACGAGTTTTCTCATGTTTGCTTTTACTTTTCTATTCTATGGGTATGAGTAAGCAGCTGTGCAGTGCTCAGCTGCCTATCGTGGTTAACCTACAATTCTATGTCATGGCCAAACCAAAAAGAATTCATGCTTCCCTAGAAATGAACTACTCATGTACACCACAAGGAAGCTGCCTAACAGGGACAGGAACTACAAGCTTCAAAGTTAAAGATGCTGCGTTCCACCTGTAGCCATTTCACCCCTGATGTGATGGTGCAAAGTAAGAATGAAACAGAAAGCAAGTGACCCTACATGTTATTAGTACATGAAATAAAGTGACCACGAGAGGGTACTAGAGATGTAAACCATGGGTGGCTCAGCAGGTCACTTCTAACCAGCAGCCAAACATAAGGCACCAGGAAAACCACTTTTTTTCCATTATGACTTTGGAATCACGTGTATGAACCCTAACTTATCCCTTCCTCCCCCACAGAGCAGGGTTTGGTGACAGCAGCCAGGCTGGAGGGCCTGTGTGCCCTCCATTCATCAGCAGGGATGCATGGAATATCAACAAGGGGAAATTTCCCCAGGTTAATAAAAACTGGGATTTCATAACAATCACCAGTAAGGCAACACATGATATGTCAGCTCTGAGACCTTTTTGGGGGAACAAGTTCCAATGTGGATGTAGATTACCCAGGTACTGTTCTGTAATTGCCAAAGTTTACTTTTTGTCACTAATGCATTTTGCTGGCAGAGCTTAAAGGTTGTGTCCCTAAGGATACAGCACCATTTGTGTTAGCAGAGCCTGGCTTTCTCTTCAGACAACAGTCATCTTGGATTGGGTATTATTAGAGGACAAGTGAAAGTGAGACTGTGGGGACATGGTGAGGAGGGGGAGCGTTATGTGACTTTACATCCATCTTCATCACCGGAGGGTCACGAAAAGATTGCTGTGTTAACAAGCAACACAGCTCCGAGCACTCAGGTCCCAGACGCTGCAGCAGAGAGATCTTTTCAAGGTGAGCAGACTGGCCTAATGGAGAATGTCTCCAGCCAGGGAGATTTATGAAAATCTACTTTATACTGGCAGCAGAAGGCCTGACAAGACTGTTCTCTCCCCAGGGGAGCTACACTGACTATCTCATCACCCCAGAGAGTCTTACTCCCTGGACAGACCACTTGATGCAAGGTCTTACTGTGCCCACATAACAGTCCAAATCTACAGCATTAACCACCTCCTCCACAAACACACACTGCTTGTTTATGTGCTCTTAAGGTTTCTGAAATTCAAACACTTGGCCCAGGAATGTAACTTAAGTGCACTGCCTTTCAAGATCCCCTAAGGAGAAATGTTACGGAGGTGGGGGATGGGCGGGGGGGGACATGAAAACACTGGGGTTTAGAGAGAGCTCAGACCACATAAAATTACCCCGTAAAATCAACAGCAAATGCCCTGAGACCTGGAAAGTGCACAGATCTGCATTACACCCTGAGCCACCATCTGCACCATGCATCACGGATTTACTTTTTGTCGTTTCATCTTACCCTGCAAGTAATGAATAGCGCGACCGCGGCTGCTCCATCTGCAGCAAGGAGGCTGCTGGCACACCCTGTGCTCCGGGCCCATGACCACACTGCTTAGAGCTCCAAACAATATGTTCTTTTACACAATAATGAACAAACTGCCAGCCCTGCTCTCTCCCCATCTTCAGAAAAAACCTATGCCTCAGTGTGAAACACTGAAATGATGAAGCTTGCTGGCTCACATGATATAGGGAGGCAAATGTTTCCTGTTGTCCAACTTACAAGTGATATCTTGGCAACTATTTTTCCTGCACTTGATAATACTTACATTTGTAGAGTGATTCAGCATGACTCAGTGTTAGCAGCGGAGGCCAGGATTTACAGGGAGTTCTTACCAAAGCCAGGCAAGGAGATGCTTGGGTCATAAAGTAACTGCAAGCAGTTTTTGTTTAGGGTGTATCTTCGGGGAGCTGATGTGAGAAAGGATGCTGTAAATAACATGTCTGGCTTTTTATTATCTAGATGCCCCATTAAATGCAAACATGCTTTAACTTGGTAGAGGCTTGTGAAAGAAGGCAGCAAAAAGCAGTATCATTTTGCATGTTTTTCATGTAAATTTTTTTATGCCACAAATTGCAAGACTTAAATATAAAACCGGAGCTGAAAGCCTGTCCCTACAAGGAAGCAAAACATCATCATCAGAGTAGCTGCTATCTCTGTGGTTTACAAATTACATGTTTCTGCTTTACTGATTTCCTGAGTTGGGTGATAGAAATACAGAGATGAGAAATAGGAACCACCAGCTTATGAGCTCGATCAAAGCTACAAAAGTGATTCCACATTCCTGGATTCAATGAATTTTCAACACTAGTACCTTTGGAAACAGAAGAGGTTTGGGTTGGGGAAAGAACAAAGAAGGAAGGACTTGGAAATATTTCTGTTGAGTAAAGACCATGGAGGGAAAAATGACATGAATTGCAGTGTGCATTTTGAGAATCTGTGCACAGCTGGAAGATCATCTGTCATCTGGAGGAGAAAGTCTGTGTAGCACCTCTGTATCCTGAGGTTGTACAATTTTCAGAAGACAAGACCTGGGTTTCTCTCACTGGCATCACACTGGTGTCTAATTTAGACAAAATTTTCATTGATTTAAAAGACCCTGACATATGCTTGTAGATAATTCCCAAGCTGCTGCAAAGCCAGATGCCTATTAGAAATGTTTGATTGCCTATTCTTCTAAGAAAGCTGAACTCACTGCAGTAGCCTGGCAGAGACTTATCCTTCACAAACAATAAAGTGATAGTTTACCTAGACATAGGGAGAAAAATGGGAATATCATTCCAAATTCACTAGGTGCTAGGACCTAGGCTAATTCACTACGTAAGACAGCATCTATCAATTAAGCATGGTTAATTACAGGTTCCTGAGAAGCTCTCAGAAATGATATCCCTAATTGCTGAAAGCAAGCCGCAGACTGAATTATAGTGGTGTTGGTACAAGTCTCAGCCGAGCAGCAGGGCTGCACAGAGTGAATGGCATGCAGAGAAAATGCAAAGAGCTCAAATGCTGAACTCAGTTTCAGCTCCTGGACCAGAATATTTTATTTACGACGATGGCATTTTCCTCTCCTCTCAGAGCAGGGGTAGTTATGTTAGATTTAAACAAAGATCAAATTATCAGCTATTATTAAGGACTTAAATGTCATTTTTTGCAGTAATTGAATTAAACATCCTTACATACCTGTGTCCTCCCTCCCTTTTTCCTTCTAGCCCCCTTGCCTGTTTCTTCCTAGTTTTTGTTTCTCCTCCTTTTCCCTGCATTGCTCTCTGCAGTGTTCCAGTTTCCACCCCTTCTCAATTTCCTTCCATAATATAACATAGACAACATTGAAAAGGCCATTTTAGTTCCCGTTTCAAAGATGTTAACAGGGTCAACAAGATTCAGGCTTCTGAAAACCTTTTTATTAAACTGTCTGTAAATTCGGGGTTTGTGCATAAGACATTTTACCAGTGTCACTGTACCGCTTATAGAGCAGGACAAGTTCCCATTATCTTTTATGCCACAAGAGACAGATGCAGTCTACATAGAGTAGATTAAAGTAGATAATTATAGAGCTGCACCTTGAGATGCTGCATACTGTCCACCCCATTGCATTGTAACAGAAAGGTCCAATCCTAGAGCTTAGAGTTGCAGATGGCTTGAACCCAACTCACCTAAACGCTTGTCTAGACAAATGTGCTTCTAAAACTGAGCTTAGACACTGTATAATCCCAGTAAAATGTGTTAGCTAGCCTCATTAAAACCCAAGTTCATTTTAACCAGATAACATGCATTAAAATACAATTTGAACCACAAAAACCTTGGCTTTGTGTTACCTAACATATACTGTTCTCGAAAAGTACCTGCTTTATATTTTAGACTAGACATGACCATCCATCTTGATGGGTTAAACTGGTTTATTTTTCAATAATGTTGGTTCAAGTGAGTTAACAAGATCAAAAGCTCCCAACACCCGTTAAGTTGCAGGCTAACTCACTTGGAAGGCACATTATAGGGCTGTGCTTGGAGACGCACATGGAGAGGAGCCCAAGTTTCAACTTGACGGGCCGGGTGCTTACTGTGAGCGAGGTGCCCATTTCCCACCCAGAAATGATTTCCCACCACAGCAGCAGGGGCACCGTCCCAGGGGTCAGACCGGGCGGGCTCCTCCTCCCGTCGCCAAACCCCCACGACTCGCACCCGCCTCGGCAGCCTCGGCCCGGGGGCGAGCAGCGCTCCCTCGGCAGCGCCGGCCCCGCCGGCCCGGGGGCACCGCAGCGTGTCCCCAGAGACCGCGATGCAGCAGCGGGGGGCGCGGACACTCCCGGGAGGACACGAGGCATCTGCTCCGCCGGCAAACGCCACCGCACACTCCTTTCCGCGCTGCCCCTGCCCGAAAAGGTCCCCGCACCCGGGACGCGCCGCAGACAGCGCATCCCTCGGCGCGGCCCCAGCGCTCGCCGCCGGCCCCCCTCACGCCCCCGCCGCCGCCGCCCTTCCTCCCCGGGGCTCCCCGGCCCGCCCAGGCTCCTCCTCCTCCTTTCTCTCAATGCACCCTCCCTCCCTCCCTCCCTCCCGTCGCCGGCGCCCGCAGCCCCTCGCCGGACTTTCCTTTCGCTCCTCCATCTCTGCTCGGCGCCCCGAGTCCTCCGTCGCCCTGCCCGCCTTGTCTGGCTGTGCCGGGGCAGCCCGGGGAGGGGGCGGGACGGGGCGATGAGCCGGGCGGTGGCGGCGCGGAGCCGAGCAGCAGCAGCAGCAGCCACGGCCACGGCGTAGGGCTCCTCTCCCGGGCGGGACCGGGGCTGTCCCGCGGCGCTCGGCGGCTTCTCGGGGCAGGGGGGGAGCCCCCGAGCCGTAGGGGAGTTCTCTCCCCCGGAGTCCGGGCAGCAGGGGTGGCGGCAGTCGAGCAGGGGTGGGTCGTCCCCCGATGTGTGACATGATCGACTCGCAGTCCGCCGAGAAGATCAGCAGGATGAAAAAGTTGCGGAGAACTTTATCGGAGAGCTTCGGCCGAATAGGTGAGTCCCGCGGCCGGGCCCTGCCGGCGCTGCCCGGCGCCCGGGGGTCCCGGCGGGGAGGGGGCGGTGGGTCAGCGCTGCCAGGCTGGGAACACGCGCGCCGACACCGTCCCCGAATGACGTTTCTTGGCAAGAAAGCTCGGGAAAATAACAACTCTTGCAGTCCCAGCAGTGCTGCATGGGTCCGTGATGTAGTTAGCCCAAAATCGGCTGGGAAGAACAAACTATAAATGAGAGTTGGCTCGCGTGCCCCCGCTGCCAAAGGGAAACCTCGACCAAAAGCAATCGGTTATTTTCGATTTGTTGCAGGTCTGGTAATTTGTGCGGGCTGCGGGTTGTTTTTAGTTGAGGAGCGAGATGCTGAAGAAGGTAACGGTGGTCCGGGGATTTAGGAGGCCAGACAAAAGAAGTCTGTCTGTCATCTGCTGCGAAGTCTTGTCGTTCTGTCACTGACAGAAAGCATCGTGAGGTAGCGTCATCTGAATGCCGCTGCATGTTACCTCCTGGTGTCACCACATCGTGTTTGGTTTCGACACCAGTTTATTTTGCAGTTGACTTTTTTACCGAGAGCAATGCCAAAGAGTTCTGGTCTGCTTGGACTGGTGTTTCTCTTAGTCTTTGGCACTCTGTGTTGCTTAATTCACTGTTTAAAACGTTAATTCCTGCTAAGAGCGTAAACACACAGCTGAGCAGGGAGAGAAGGTACATCAGAAGAGCTGTGAACTACCCCTGAGTTGGCCGAGCAAAGCAGCTGGAGATAGTGCTGCAATACCTGTGAGCAGATGCAGCAGCCCCTGTCCTTGCAGACCTTCTGTAAGGGCCCTTCCACAGCCCTTGCCCATTGGTCTTCCCACTGGGATCTTTCTCCTTACAGTCAGTCTGGCTGGCAGACCTGGGTCGGTTTGCCGGGCCTCTTTGTCCCAGTGAGAGAACGTGAAGTGCCTGTGCCGCAGCCATGAGCTGTGGCACTTTTCTTCCTCAATAACCCTGCCGAGGAGGTGCGCTGGAGTACTTGAGCATTAGGATTTTTCACATGTTGTGTATGCATTCAGTGTACCACCTTTAGCTTTTAAGGACTGCAAGCTTTTAAGTGTATGATCGGATTCAAAATCAGGTATTTTTTATTGTCCTACTGCAAGATGAAAAAGACTGAGAAAAGCTCATTCATATTTGTAAACCAGAGAGTTCAAGGATAAATGCAAAGTTACAATTGTGAAGCAAATGTCAAGTCACTGTTATGATTCTCTCTGTCCCTATATGAAAATAGCTTTCATCTATCACCAGTCTTAAACTTGTAAAATATGTTTAACTTACTTTGATTGTAAAAAAATGAGGCAGTCAGGTGTTTGGTCTGATATGTGTCTCTGTGCGTGTATAGATGCAGAGAGACACTCTTCCACAGAACTATGGGAAGGTTTTACTAATGGTGGAAGTCATTAACAAAGAAAATGTTTTGAATGAGGATGCTGCTTTGTTGTAACAGTGACAGTCCTGTTAATGCCTTTTAGGGAGCAAGGCCCCTCTGGCTGGTAATTTCTGCATGTTTTAGTTGGCTCGGTTGGGTGATCATCTATTTTTGTCATTTTGCACAAATGAAACAACCTTTTAGTTTCCTTGGGAGCTCTGGCCTGATTTTAGGTACATGGATTTTTATGTTTTACAGCTCCTCCAGTTCTGTGTGTATATGTGCAGATGTGTAGGAGTGTGGTTGGGTGAGGGATTTGTTTGTTTGCTAGTGGTTGTTTTGTGTTTAAAACAGCTGCTACCAGCAAGATTTTTCAATCTTCAGGTGCTCTAATATTTTGACCATCATTCTAGTAACTGCACTTTGAGCGAAAAAACTTCTAATTTATCTGTATGAGGTTTGAACATAGTCCGTTTCTGATACCAGAGCCACAGATAAGCCCAAGCAAAGAAACTCTAAACTTGCATACCAGGAAATCCTTCGTTAAAACATGTGCTGTACTTAACTCTTATATTGAAGTGGAGGAAAGAAAACCAAAACCTCATTGGAAAAAATCTTTCTGGGTATTTTTCACATGGGTTTTAAAGTTCTTTTTGTAAGAGCTAGTTGCTTGGTGAGATTAACAAATTACAAATTTTATGGGTATCTAATTGTAATTTTGTCAGTCATCTGTTCAGTTGTGATTTATTATAAATAGTAAATTCCTGACAGTGTTCAAAGCTAGGTTGGATGGGGCTTTGAGCAACTTGGTCTAGTGTAAGTTGTCCCTGCCCATGGCAAGGGGGTTGAGATGATCTTTAAAGTTTATTCCAACCCCAACCATTCAGTGATTCTGTAAAATAAACATGATCTGTTAACTTTTCTTGCTCTGCTGCAGTTTCTGTGTTTTCAGGGGTTTAAGTACACAACATAGCATCATGAGCGTAGTCCTATAAATGATATGAGAGTAATATGGTGTTTGAATCAAATAATTAGGGAGTCAAACCTTCATGTGCTGCAGTAGGGAAGATCTACTGATCATTCTTTCAATGGTAAGTCACCACTAGGCCTCCCTGCTGTGTTTGCAGCCTTCCATCTGCCAAATACAATTCTCTCAATACTGCAAGATCCCAAACTTTTGATACCAGATTTCAATACCAAAGTTTATATTAGCCTCTTAGATAAGAGTGGTGGAAATGTATCCTAATTGTCATTGGCAGTGTTTTTTTTTCCTTAGGGCTTGCAGGTTAGTACTCAATAAACTGCCTTTCAGACCACCTTCTCTCCACCAAGTAATACTATTTGAGAGGTTATATTTGCAATTCATTTATAAGATTTTTTTTTACAGTGTGCTAAACTATGGTAAGTAATATTTGAAGCTATTTCCCCAACATCTCCAGATAAAGCCATTGTAGTTATTCCTGGGGCACAGCAGAGCCCAAAGAGTACCAATGGCAGGCTCAAGTAGACCTGCCCCATTTTCTCACCTGTGAACTGATGCTTTGGAGCCATTGGCTTTTCAGTGGCTGGCAGAGGGTGATGAAGATCTGGCTCATCATGCAAAACTGTGACCGGTCCCATAACTATTAGAGTACCTATTACTGAAAATGTTTATTTTGCTGAGCTGAAAAATGTGATGTATGAAATTGCCCATCACTGAGCCTTTTCCTTAGCATTCTCTTTGTGTCATTATGTGCAAATCTGGCAAAGGATGATACAGCACTGTGGTATGTTGGAGGAAATGTGTGTGGCCTGTGGTGCTAAATTGAAGTTTATGTTCTAAAACAGACTGGGTGGCTTTTTGCTGTAGAAATTACATGCTCCCAGTTCTAGAGAAATGAGCTGTCTTTGCAACTAAGGTACCCTTTTCTCCTGGCAGAAATTTTCTGGTATTTCAAGGAGTGTCCCTCTAAAATTTATCTCATCATAAAGAACTTATATTACTAAGAATATGAAAAGTTTACATCATTCTTTTCATTGATATGTTTGTGTCAGCCTATCCATTTTTATACAGACATCCATATTAGTTTAAAAAATCTGGTTTCCTTACATACTCTGTTGGCCATATAAATGAATGCATCATAACTGTACATTAAGATTCAGTTGACTCACTGTTTATTTTAGCATTTAAACCTTTATTAGGGTTTGTTCTTAGTTTTTCACTTTGATAATTATGTAATTAAAATTAATAATGAGTAATTTCATAAAATTAATATTAGTAATTTAGTTATGTAAAGAGTTCTTAGCTATGCATTTGTTGAAATTCATATAGTACCAAAATCATATTTGAGATCTCTTCAGCTGATGCCACTTAACTTCTGTTTTTTTATACAGTTTCTTTAGTCAAAAACTAACACCCAGTTGCAAGGAAAGGAAGGAAGGAAGAAAGAGAAAACATTGATGAGATTGATCACAGTGTGCTGAAAGCAGTCTGTGGCCCTTCTGAGCATCCCTGGGCTTTGTTAGTAGCTACTCACTAATACAAAGGTTATCTCCACTAATCTCCTCTGATGTACATACACATAGCTCACATACCTGAGATAATGAGAAGTTCATTTGTAAACAGTTTATTTTTTTTTTTTAAGTTCAGCAGAGCTTTTTTTTTTACCAGTTTAAAAATGAAAGGGTTGCACTGAGGAGAAAAAAAATATTTTTAATACAGTTTGTTGTATAAAATATACTACTTTGATGTTTTCTTTTGGAAATGCTATGTAGTGAATTGGTTGGGACTGCTAATATTATTAAACAGAATATTATTAAAAGGGTGGCCAGAACTCTCATTTTCTTTGGTGATTCTTAAAGGCCCTCTTTTAGTCAAAGGTAGATGTTAAAGGCAAGTGAAATATGTGCAGTGATGAAAGATTCCCATTTCTTCTTGTTCTGTTAGGTGGTGAATTTTGTTTAGCAGTCTGTAGTTTGGCTATTTCTGGAATGTTTTGATCATGTGAAAATCTTGTGTTTTGGTAAGGGAGAAAAGCATGACCTCGGTGTGTCATATACTAATTTATAGCTTGTAAGTCATTGTGACCTGAACTGTAATTGAGAAGATAAAAAGTGTATTCTTAAAAAGTGTTCCACAAGTTGGGGTATTTTCTTTCTTCCTTTCTCCATTTTTCTTTCTTTCTTTTTCTTTCTCTTTCTTTTTTTCTTTCTTTCTTTTTCTTTCTCTTTCTTTTTTTCTTTCTTTCTTCCTTCCTCTCTTCCTCTCTTCCTCTTTTCCTCTCTTCCTCCCTTCCTCCCTTCCTCTCTTCCTTTCTTTCCTTTCTTTCCTTTCTCTCTCTCTCTTTCTCTCTCGCTTTCTCTCTCTCTCTTTCTCTCTTTCTTCCTTTCTTCTTTCCTTTCTTTCTTTCTCTTTCCTTCCTGTTTTTTCTTTTTTTCCTTTCTCCCTCCCTTCCTTTCTTCTTTTCTTTCTTCTCTTTTCTTTTTCTTTTTTGAATGTCCTGACTCATAGTTCTGAGTACTTGGGATTGGCAATCTGAAAATGTTTTGTTCACCCTTCATAAAAAAACCATTTCATTATAAGAGTGTACAATGTGTGCCTCAGATCTCCTCAGCAAAATACCAGGGTTTGTTTTATTGTTTGTTGTTGTTGTTGTTTGTTTGTTTGTTTGTTTGTTTGTTTAACTGACCATGAAATCTAGATGAGTAACTGTAAAACAGTGAACTTCAAAGTTTTGAGAGAAGATATGTTTAAAGGAAGACTGGACCTTCCTTGTTTTTCTGTATGAGAATAACTGAGATTCCTGCCTTGCTGCCCTTGGTGGAGGTTCTGGAGCTGCAGCACTGTTTGCACAGGTGTCCTGCCTCTGTTGTGCCTCTGATGCAGCTTCTACGGTTGTTTTTGTTTTGGTTTGGTTTCTTTGTTTTTGAGCTGATAACACAGTTGCTCCTGAAGACATGTTTTAGAAGAGGTGTTGGTTTTGAAACTACTAGTGACTTGAAGGCAGAAGGAGCATCTAAAAGAGCAAAGAAACTACTGGAGCCTAGATCCTCAGCCATGCTAGGTGCTTAAGTATTTATATCCTGCAGAAATAAATGCATTTGAAGTGTAAGAAACACTACGCTGCTTAAACGATGAGGAGGGACCCTTCTGGGGCAGCACTGCACAAACCATATGGTCTTTCAGATGACCTCGCTCAAATTGTAAACCCTCGTGATTTAAACTGAAAAGAAACAGCACAATCGTCAATGCAATGGTTTATCTAATTTTAGCTCTTCAAGAGAAGGAAACAAAGAGCACTTTCAGGTCATGACGCGCTGCCCCTGGTGGGTTTGGTTGTGGCGCGCAGAGAAAAGGAACCAGTCTCGTACCTTCAGACTGACACGGTTCAGTGGAGATTTGGAGAAATTAATTTTCTATATATTTCAATAAAGATGTCCAGTATGCTAAAGGAAAACTCTTCATCAGCTTTATCTTTGCTACGACTTCAGAACTATTCATGTTTTTGTTTTCTTACTTTACCAGTTCACATGTCTTCTGCACTGTTTTCCCCTTCCTTGTTTGTTGATTAATTGCTTGTTAACAATGTGAGAAACAAATCTCCTCTTCTTTAATGTAAGCCATATTAAAATAATATAAAAGGAAAAAAATTCTACAATGCATTCTACATCATAAAGGTTTAGTACTTGAGAAATTGAATATGTGGTTAGGTGTTTATTACACTTTTCCTGTTTGAAGTTCAGTCAAGCTCTTCATAAAGGGTTTTCACACTCACTAGGAATTAAAATAAAAAATAAAAACCACCCTTACAAACTCTTATTTTCTTTAACCGGAGAGGATAATATTTTTCATAAATATGTAAATTTACTTTCTTGGAAACACTCTGTGCAGTCCTACATTCCATTTACAGATTCAGATTTTGAGTATAAAATTGTTATTCATGCCAGCTAGTTCTTTCCTATTATAACAGGAAAATGATGCTCTGTTTTTTCTGGTGTTAGTTACTTTGTGCTCATTGAAATGCAGTACAGATAACAATTTCTTTTTTCTTTTTATTTTAAAGCCTTGAAGAAAGAAGATAGCAGCTTTGATGAGGTAGGTTAAATATCTTTGTACCTTACATAGCCCAGGTATGCCTTAGTATTTCTCAATAACTTTAGAAGAAACCCATAGATAGTAATGTTGTGATGTGCATGTGTGTTAGTACATGCATATTGCTCGAATGTATTTTCCAAATAACTGCCAGAAGAATTTGTTAACTGAAAGCTCTGAATGGAATGCTGGGGTTTTTTTGGAATATAATAAAACTGAATGTTGTATGAAAGGTGCTCATTGACAACCATTCAATGCAGAGAAATATTGCATGCAGAGAAAATACTTTATAGAACTTTGCCAATGGTAATTCTCATAATTGTAAGCCTGTATTGTAACAGAGGGGGAAAAAAACATCACTCTTGACAGAACACCTTACGTAAAATGCTGCTGCATTGGCTTCTTGATGAACATGTCAACTGAGAGAGATGCTTCTTAGGAAATTAAAAAAAAAAAAAAACAAAAAAACAACCAACCCAACAGCACAAAACCAGCAGCTAGTTGTATTGATTATTCAATGTAATCACCTTGGGGTCTTGACCTATCTATGATATGATATGCATGTTAATTTGTAAAATATGCTGCTCACGATTTGTGCCTGAGAGGTCCAGGTCAGTGCAAGTTGTCCTGCAGAGCAAGTTTATGCAGGAAGAGGTGTAGGTCTTGGTGTGGTGACTTGTCATATTGTAGTCAATACTTGCCTTGTACTTCCCTCTGCCACCATAGCTGGAAGCAAATGGAAGTATTTTCATGTGTCGATATTATGCTTCTGGCATTTCTGTGTTTTCTTCTTCGTTGCATGCTGCAAGCTTAAATTCTTGGCTTATTACAGTGAGATAGCTGTTGTGTAATGCCAGATTCTAGAATAAATAAATGATGATGTAATGTCCTGGATTCTGGATCAAATCAGACTTCATCTCTTTCTAAACAGATCACATTGATGCTCAAATGCAGTAATAGCAATATAGATGTTTTGTGCTTTTCTGACAAGCTGTTTCTTGGCTCGACCCCTCCCAGGTCTGGAGTGAAGGTCATGGGGTCAGGCTCTGTTTTCAGGAACTCTTGTTCCATCATGCAGTGGTCCCAGCTATTTTATTTCTCTTGTAACACTGATAGAATTTGTTCCCTCCTAGAAGTTAAACCTGTGTGGATATGTAGTTGGTAAACTTTGAAGCCTTGTTTTACATCCCTTGGTCTGTTTTTGTCCAATAGTTTCTTCTGAAGGCTGCAGTGGTCTATTTGTGCTGTAACTTACCCAGTGAGTACCTCGTATTAAATTTGATACAGAATTTGAAAGGGTCCATTAAAAAAAACTGTCTTATGAAGATGGCAATTTTTCAGTCCCCTCTCCTTCCCCAGGACTGTTTATCTGCAGGTTGCATTTATTTTCTTTAAACCTGGTTTTCTGCTTGAACAGGGCACAATTTGAGCAAATTTTTGTTTAAATTTTGGAGATTGGGGGGAAAATAATCTTTCAAATCTTTCAAATCTTTCAAATATGTTTTCAATGGAATCTGATAGATTGTTGATGTGAGCTACTGCAGAGACAGTGAGAAGGGTACACAGAAGAATTTTCTTCCATCTCCTGTAAGTAGGGAAGAGCTTGATGTGACATAAGCATCAATTGGTTCCATCATTTTAGGTGTCATTTCTTAGAAGAAAGAAAAGTGTGCTGAGATTTTATGTTGTCATCTTCAAATTCAACACAACAGTTCTTGGTGATTTTCTAGCCTAAAGTGTGAATCAGAGAATGGGTTGTACCACATATCACTTAATTCCTTTCCTTTCAAGCATCCTTCAGATCAGAAGATGAAACAGACTTTGGTAACAATAGTATACCTGATTGAAATGAAACGTACTTCTAAGGGAGACAGTATCTGTGAGCAGAGGAGTGGGCACATTTGTTGGTCTCAGAAGGTCACCTTGAAAAACACTACTAAGACCATACCATGATATAAAAGGAAAGCAATCTAGTCTTCTGACTAGTATATGTAGTATTCATATATCAGGGTTGCAGTTATAAAGGAAGTTAGGATAACAGTAAGTGGAATATCAGATGAGAAGAAGAGAGGAGGTAGTTGTCCAAGCTGTCCGAAGCTGTATGTCAGCTTTGTAGGTCTCCTACTACAAAAAATTGAAATAGTCAATTATTGAAGGAGAAATTGCATTTAACAAGCAGCACATTCTCCCTTTATGGTTAGTGGAAAGATACTCTTTTTCCTTTAGTGGTGCTGAAAGATACTGTGTATCTCTTCTCACCCTGTGCTTCCCCTTTCCTGCAGGGAGGTTGACCTGTGAAGCAGGACTTGAACAAGTAGCAATGCGCTTGCCAATGGACTTTACGCTCTTGACAGGTGGAGAAGGAGGAACTTGTGTTTTAGCCTTTCCAATTGTGATCAGAACACCAGCAGCAGAAGCTGGCCAGCAGGGACTTGAAATCTCTGAGGGGGGAGGGAAAGTGGGATGAAGAGGAAAGATGATCCTTATAAAGCTGCAAGGTTTGGATTGGCAGCTGAGTCAGTTGTTATCTTATTCTGTGCATTGTTGGTGCTACATGAAGTGTTTACTTGTTTGTCTCTCAAGAAGTGAGGGGGAAAAAATTGAGCTGTTCAGTGGCTCTTATTTTACCTGCTTTAATTGCACACAGTAGCTGAGAAATGTACAGCACTGCAGGAAGTCGTCTTTCTTTTCAAGAGAAACTACTAACAATTAAGATGTCAAACATGACAGGCAAGTGTACCACATAATTGCTTTCTGTGGGTTATGAAATTAATCTCTCCAGTAAATTAGGACCAAAAGAATCATGAGCAGTGAATCCTGTGAATGAGTTGCGTGTCAGAAAATATTTTTATTTGTAGAATTGTTTCAGGGATCTTAGTGGTGTATTTAGTCCAGCCTGTAAGGTCAGAGCACAACAATATTGAAAGGAGTAGTGTAGGATTTCTCACTTTTTTCTGCCTGCTGTTGTGTTGCTTTGATTAAATTTTGAGGGAAAAAACCTCTTTTCTGTAGATGCTGCCAGCTTTAACTTTGGTCTGTGAGATCACTTGAATTAATCCATTTAATGGATTTAGTGGCAGTCTGCTCACCTTCCTAAAATGTTATGACATCTTCCAGAGACTCATATGAATAAAGGAGTGGATATAGACCACTCTTTCTATAGTCTTTTGTTCAAAGCAGTGAAGTAATCGTGTGGTTTTTTTTTTTTTTCTTTTTTTTAGTCTTTAGTCTGTTCCTTTTTGTCATACTAGTCACATTGTGGGAACTGAAACGCAGGCCTGCACCAGTATGACTGAAATCAGTGGGAAGATTCTCAGTGTTTTTGGTGGTTTGTGGATTGGTTTCTTCTGTCATGAAGTATCATGGCTGGGGTGGCGAGGGAGGGGCAAGCTGTTCTTCCCTGTTTTCAAAGTTAATTTATTTGAATGGGAGTGAGTAAGGCATCTTCTTGTATCCTGAAATGTACCTTGCCTGTTCTCTGAAGCAACCTAAGTTTCACTCTCTGAGTATAGGTTTTGGCACAGTTAGCATCTGTCTTGCAGTTTTAGGCAAAGCACTGATTATCTAGTCTGGATACCAAGATAAAATGAACATCTCTGAGGAGCAACTCTACATGAAAAGAGCGGTCAATAAACAAATGTGTCCCTTGAGTGAACATTTTATTTGTGCTCCAGTAGTTTGTCAAAGTTTAGTTTTAACTTCCAGCTACCCAGGATTGCTTTGAAGCCTTTGGACCATTGGTGTAACAAGTGTCCACTCTGTCTTAAAATGATGGAACATTTTCCTTTTCATTTGAATGTGATAAAGGCCAGTAACATGTGGCTGAATTGTAGCATGTTTGTGGGAATGACATCCAGTGTTGATGTTGTGACTAAACACAAGGCTGGTAACCTCTTCCTTTGGTTAGCTGCTTATTGTTGTGATTTATTTCTAAATTATTGTCAGTCAGTCTCGAGCTGTTGGTTCTTCTCCTTCTGTTGTTGATTTCTCTAAGCACTTATGCCATGGTTTAAGAACTTCAGTCGTATGTGTGCACACTAAATGCATTAATACCAATGTCACAATGGAATCAAAGTGCTTTGATTATTGCTTCTTATATAGTGAGTCGTATTGCCATTGCTTAGCTGTATTTTAATCTTAATTTTTCCCAATATCAAGAGCACCGTTTCTTTTTTACGTCCGCCTTTCTTAGGAAATTAGGATACTGTGATTGTGCCTGCTACATGTGTAATACTGTCTGACTTCACCCAGTAACTTTGAAGCTGGCTGACACTAGATATTTAGATGCTTGGTGGAAAAGCATGTGAGCTGGCTGAGGGATAGAGATAAGAATCTCCTTTGATGGAAAAGCTGGAATGCGAGTTCTTGTGAGTACATGAGAATCTGTTTGGAGGTGTTATGAATACTCTGAACTCCTCAAAATCCTTGATACTCATCTAATCCTTACTACATTTAGAATGTCCAACTTTGAGCAAGCCAAATTTCATTTATTTCACTCATGGAACAACTTCCATGTGTTTGAAGTGGAAGTGTGTGAAAGGGGAGGGAGTTTTGCCAAGTTACTTCTTGGTTCTGTAATGTGCTTGTTCTCACAGTCTGTCTCTCTCACCCCAAACTGAAAAGGCTACTCCCTCTGTGGGATGTTGGCATGAAAAATGTCTTGGTTTAAAGGACACCCATCTCTGAACCAGAACTTTTGTGTAGAGATTATTTGGAATTTGAAGAGTTAAAGGAAAGGGTGTAGTTGGAAAAGAGAAGGGCTGTGTAAAGCATGAATGAGAGGCATTTGAATGCCATAATGCAGAAGGCACATAATACACTAAATAATTTTTCTGTATTTTTTTTTAAGTTTTATTTACAGTAAGTAGCTTGAGAGAGAAGTACATGTAGAAAATATAGATACAGAACTATACCTTTTCCTCCTGCAGGAATTATGGGAGATGGAGGAGAGAAAAAAATCTCGCTCTTTTGAGACTCTGTTACTTTTTGTAGGATCTTGGAGT